GGAGGAGAGCAGCCGAGGAAGAGGAGGAGGAGGAAGAGGAGGGAAAAGAGAAACAGAAGACGAATGCAGCGGAGGCGGAGGAGGAGGAGGAGGAGGAGGAGGAGGGGGAGGGGGGAGGAATTGAAGCTGCGAAGAATGACAGTTCTTTCCCTGATTCAGAGGAAGCTCCGCTCACCACTTTTGTTCCTAATGATATGAGTTCTACTCAAGCAACTGCCACTGCAACTGCTGCTAGTACTTCTAACACTCTGACTGGTGCTGTGGAATCTGTGGATAGACAGATGAACCATGCTCTGCCTGGTCATGCTTCGGGTTCGACGGCCAGCTCTGCAGGCAGCACTGCTTTTGGTGGGACAGATGTTGATGCTAAAAATAGCATCCCTCATCCACAGAGAAGTCGGCCTTTGATCTATGTGTATGAACTTCCTCCTGCCCTCATGACTTGGACATTCCTGGACTCTCTGCCGGACAGGCATGAACCCTTGCTGTTCCTGGAAAGACTGCTGAGATGTCCGAGCAGGACCACCGATGGACAAAAAGCAGATTATCTATTTGTTCCGGCGTTAATCCGACTGAACGCAAACCGGCCAGAATATGTCCGGAGAGTGGTTGATTACATTTCTAGTGCTTGGCCGTACTGGAGACAGAGAGGTGGGAAGGATCACATCTGGATGTCGAATGATGACCGGGGCCTCTGTGAAATTGGGCCCGCAGACTCCTCAGCTCGATCGTTGGTGGAAAACTGCACGTTTCTTACCCTTTGGGGATACTGGGGAGATGGTCAGGCGGTAGAGGTGCCTACGCCTACACCTGACGACGCTGACGTGAGTCGGCTTCCAGGGAGAAAGGGAGGAGAAGAGGCGGCACCAGCACTCGATGCGATTGAGTCGTCTTTCCGACGTAGTCTTTTGGGTACCCCTGTGGGTTCTCCTTGCTTTCGAAGAGGGAAGGACATAGTCATACCCCCAAGTCAGAGCCTTTACTTGCTGGCAAAGTCACCTCAAGTCAACCCTTCTTTCGTCTTCAATAGGACGACGGTTCTGTTCTTTGCCGGCAGTTCGGGAAGGTTGAGGCACAGCACAGGTGGAGGATCTAGAACCTATAGCTTTGGTGTGCGGCAGAAGGTGTTCGATCTCTTTCAGAGCAGACAGAATGAGTTGCAGTTTGAGCTCGTTGAGGGCGTCGTGACGTCGTATGAAACGCACCTAGCCCGGTCTTTGTTCTGCCTTGCTCCGGCAGGTGACGGATGGGGCCGTAGGACTACCCTCACAGTGCTATTTGGCTGCATACCAGTCATCTTGCAGGACAACGTATCGCAGCCGTTCGATGAGCTCCTCGATTGGAATGCCTTCTCGGTCAAGCTCCGCGCCGATGAGATCCCATCCCTGCCTTCGGTCTTGAATGCTATCCGAAGCTCTCCAGGCGTACTGGAACAGAAACAGAAGGCCCTAGCAGATGTATGCCCGCGTTTCATGTGGCACTCTCCTAGTTGGGACACGAGTTCGGTGCGAAGGGTCGGAAGAGAGGAGGCAGACTACCGGATCGATGCTTTTTCCACAATCATGGAAATACTTGCCACAAGATGGGCAGCAGCCAAGAAGAACCCTGAGGCTCGCTCGTAGACCTGGACATTGGACAACGGTTACAGTTGTGATCGTCCGATAGTCGTCGTGCCCTCAAAGTTCCTCCCTTGAGTCCCTTCCCCCCCTTGTCCTCCTTTCACACCACCCCCCCCCCCCCCCCCCCCCCCCCCCCCCCCCCCCCCCCCCCCCTTCCAACCCTCTCTCTGTTCAAATGAACTTGATGGTGTTGGGATGTTATACAACCCCATATTCTAACATTGCAGCTATGTCTATAGGGTACTTGGCTGCATAGCTATTCGGTGTTGCATTACGCTCTGAGACTCCCGAACTTTGCTATTGTGCTTGACGCCGTTGACGGCTATGTAGTTCATAGTACGGGTAGTACGCTAAGTACGGCAGTACTCTTGTCCTGTCACCTGTGCAATAGCTATGCCATGCTATGATGCTTGAGGTTCTTGAGGATGCTTGCTATGCTGGTTGTGGGATGTCGTAGAACCTGCATTGGAATTGCTTTCTCTGCATGCTATTTGGCTGCATCGCTATTTAGCTGCATGGCTATTTAGCTGCATGGCTATTTGGTGCTTTGCTAAGCTTTGATGTGCTACAGCCTATAGCTGTGACATGCTATAATTCTGCTTGACAGCTATGTAGTATGTAGTTCCTTTTCTTTTTTTCCTTTTTATAAAGGGCGACAGCCTTGAGCTATGATCGTAAAACTGACCGTCCCTAGGTAATTAAGGTATTTTTTAATTAAAGTTCATCTGGTTCCATCCGGATTCGAACTCACGTCTTCATTTCACAAAGTTTATGGGTCTACCAGCTGAGCCAAGCCCGTTGGTACAGCTACGTAGTTCCTAGTAGGCTAGTACTATAGGTAGTACACTAGTAGTCACTGACTCACTGGTGGTACTATCCTGTTTTCAGTGTTCTGTGCTATAGCTTTGAGATTCTATGCTGCTTGAGGATGCTTGTTGTGCTGGTTGTGGGGTGTTAGCACGGTACCTGCGCTGACGCTGCTGAGATTGCGATCATAGCTGCAAGCACTGCAAGGTACTTAGCTGCTTTGTTATTTTGGTCACATTTGGTGCTGTGCTATGCTATGCTGGGCTATGCTGAGCCGTGCTATAGGCTATGCCATGCAACTCTGCTTGACAAGGTTGCTGTGCAGGTTTCACGGAAATTGGGGTGTTATAGAGCCGCACTCTTCATGAGCAATATCTGTGGTCAAACTTTGAAGTGATACTGTTTAGTATGGGATACCTGAATTTTTCATTAAATTGCTTGCTGTCAAGCAGAATGCAAAGGTGGCAAGATACATCCCTTACTACTCGTAGTGATGCATGTATCTTGCCATGTTTTGAGAGGAGATGCACTCACCTTTTTTCCCATTTCACGAGTGGTTGTGGCAGCCGGCCCAACCCCAATGTTTCCATGGAGTAGGACTCGTACATATCGGTTAAGCTGATGACACCAAAGTGTGGCCTGGTACATACAAAGCACATAGACCTCTTTGCGGACGACCACAATTCTTCGCCTTCGCTCCGACACCCGGGCCTGAACGCATGGCGTGGTACATACAAAGCACATAGACCTTAGCCCTGACTGCCGTTTTAAACCACCAGTTAAACCACTAGTTAAACCACCAGTACACCCGGGCACTGCGCGCCAAGCTTTGCAAAACCGCCAGTGGCACGCTTCTTTCTTTTTTGGCTGGCGCCACCAGTGTTTCAAAAAAAAATAATAAAAAAAAAATCGTTGTGGTCCAGTAACCCCGACCATCCAAACTTTTCGTAGGTGAAACTGCCATTTCGTCAAAATGGACATCTTTTCTTTTTTGAACAAAATTGAAACCGAGTTTTTTGGCCCAAAACTCGTCAAAATTTGTTGTTCCTGAGGGTCCGGGGTTTGTAAAACGCCGGACCCTCAGGAACAACAAATTTTGACGAGTTTTTGGCCAAAAAACTCGGTTTCAATTTCGTTCAAAAAATAAAATAAAAAATAAAAAATGTCCATTTTGACGAAATGGTCGTTGTGATGAAATATTTCTCCACAATGTTGGGGCCATGTACCGGCGGTTCAAGCACCGAAGGAAGGAGCTCTCAAGAAAAAACTGACTAGTATTATAGTACTGTAAACCAGCACTCCTTTTTTGTTGCCAGACCCGGAGCCTGGTCCATTATGCCAACCAGACCTGCCCAGGGATAATTTTCAATTTGCACCCCACGCAAACCAGCGCCCGGCCTGGCTGCGGCGTACCAGTTACAAACTGCAAATGTTTTTGGTAGCTGAGCACTGAGTCAGTGGCAGTGGTGGTTCACCTAATATTTTGAGGGAGGGGATAGACTCACCCTAGGACTTTTTCAACTTCTCCGTGGACGTAATTGAGGTCAGATGCATTCAGGCTGGGTCATAAAAGAGGTCAGATTCATGCAGGAAAATCCTTGTGTGTGGGATGAACCCTTTTTTCACCCTGCAGCTTCGCAAAATTTGCTGTCTTGCATAAAGCCAGTGTTTCAATGTGTTTGACCATTTCCCTTAAAGTTTTTTCTTTTACCCAGAGAGGTTAACAACTGAACACATTGACAATGTATAGTAGTACATCACGGTGTGTGAAGTGCAAGGTGTACTCAGCTGCTGGGCATCCAAGAGACTGAACCCAATGGTTAAACCACCAGACTGAGTACCTCGCCCATACATCGACCGCGGGAAAATATAAAGTGTAAGCGTTTTCACTTGGATGAATTTGAGCGCACCCGTCCAGGCCTGTTCATCCGAGCGCGGCAAGGCGCGTTTCCTGCGGGCTTGAAAAGGGGGGGGGAAAAAACGTTCTATTGTATATTGAAGTTATAAAAAGTTCTATACTCCCTGAAATTCGTTATTCCTGAAGCAGCGATATCCAGAGTTAAAAAAAAAAAAAAAAACAAGGCAAATCCCATCCACATGAAGTTAGTATAGTACTTGGGTTGTCTACTTGCTGGGTCAGCGGAGGCCGTACCTGTGCTGTCACCCAGCATGGATGACCATCCTATGCAAGGGTTGTTGGCCCTTTCAGTTTTGTTGGGCCCCTTGTTCAGAATCTTCTTTCCCCTGGGCTTCGGGAGAGTCTGTACCTCCCGTATGATGATGAGATCTGGCAATATGAAGCCTGGTCCCTCGGCTGCAGAGTGGGCTGAAACAGATCGCCGCCTGGCTGAAAAGAAGAAAGAGAAAGAAGAAAGAAAGAGACAGAAAGAAGAAGATATAAAGAGGAAAGTACAGATGGAAGAGGAAAAAATGAGAAAGGAAATGAAAGAAAAGTTAGAAAAGGAGTTGAAGGAAGAACTACAAACTATAGAAGAAGAAGAAGAAGAAGAAGCGGGAGAAGAAAGACTCATTAGACACCGAACTGAAAGGGGAGAGAGTAGCCAGACAGGTGGAGGACTTCAGGTCAAACCGCTGGATTGGTATGATCAATATGCATATTCCAGCGATCGCATTGAAGAGACGGAGGAAGAAAGAGATGTGTTCATTGCAAAATTGACATCCATTGCAGACCAAAAAGAAAAGGACCTTTTGCTTGAGGAAAAACGTGCAGAACTGCATAGTAAAATGTTAGCAGCAAAGCGGCGAGAGCTTGACGAAAGGAAAAGGCTGCAAGCAGAGGGTGCGAGGCTGCAAAAAGAACTGCAAGACCAAAAAGATAAGCAAGCTGCAACAAAAGAAAAACTAGCCCTCTTGACAGAAACAGTCCTGCATACAAAGCAAGAGTTAGAAGCAATCAACAGAACGTTGCAAAAAGTTGAAACCCACCAATATGAGTTTGAGGAAGTTTGAAATACCTTTCTGCAGAAGTCCGCCAAAGATGTTGATCAGCACATACATTCGTATATTGAAAAATTAGACAATCATATCACACAAACCTTTACTCTCGCTGTAATTGACAAGATAGTTCGCGGCAGCGGAGGAGGAGAAGATGGAGACGGAGATGGGGGTGATGGAGACAAGAAAGGAAAGGGAGTGCAGCGAGAAGACAGTAGGGATATAAGAAAGATTAAAGTTAAAGTGTCGTGGACATACACCGGCAAGAGGGACGAGTGTCTCCTACATTGGATTGCTGTTGTAGAGTCATATGTATACGGACAGCGCATCCCGTATTGGGACAGAGTCTTGATGGCCACTTCGTGGATGGCCGGCGATGCAATGAGCTTCGCCATATCGTTGCAAAAAGAAGCTAACTGCCAAACTATGATTGAGTACTCACAGCAAACAAGTATTGAAGATTTCTTCAAAGCTGTCAGAGAAAGATTTGAAGACAAAATTTTAGCATGTAGAACAGAAATGCTGATCTTAAACATTGCAGATCAGAAATGGAAGAGTGCATCTGCACTCAAAGCAACGATGGATGAATTCTTACAATGCGTTGAACATGGTCTCACTCCTACTCAAATCCTTAATAACTTCGCAAAGGCGCTACCCGACCCTCTCTGTACTCAGCTTTATCCCCGCACAAAGGAAGAGGGGATGACATACGAGAAGTTTAGCAAGATCGCTATAGATCATGTTGGCTTCTTAGCCGAAGCTAACTACTGTCATTATTGGAAAGATCTGCAAGCGGGAAAGAAGTGGCAGAACCGCACTGGCACTATCTTAGGGAACATACCTGGGAAAGACAACCTCCTTCCGACCTTTGAAGAAGGAGGTGTCGAAACTCTCTCTTACGACCAGATAGATTATGGTCTGGAGGGAGGACCCAACGGCTCGGTAGTTCAGGAGGGGGACTACGCGGCCGTTGTAGCCCGCGGGGGAGGGCGACAAGGAAGAGGACGTGGCAGAGGAAGAGGAGGCCGCGGGCGTGGTGGAAGAGGATCTGGCACCCAGAGGGGTAGTGGTGAAGGTAACTACTATGTGAGCGGAAGGGGCAATGGTCCCTCACAAGGTGGCCGTGGGGAAGAGGAAGAGGCGCATGGTATGGTACATGGGACAAACCATATCCACCACATCCAGGTCTGCCCGAAGAGGAGCCTTGGAAGAAACTGGGATTACAGAGAAAGTTTGGCAGGACAAAAAAGTCGTTGATCAATGCCTCAAATGTGGTGACCCCAACCACATCGTTCCCTTCTGTTCCGATTACAAACAATCAAAAGGGAACAACCAATAAGGGTTTTAGTTGCCTCTACCGGAACTTCGGATGTAAACAGAAAGACAGGTTCCTCAGGCACAAACTGGACAGACAGACAATCCCCACCTAGTTAATTGTCCAGAGGTAGTAAGTGTGTGCACCTCTCTAGGTGGATCCCTCGTTGGCATGGGTGATGAGTTGGTCGCTCGTCGCCAGGCCTAGACTGAAATGAAAAAACGAAAAGGATAGTTAATCATTGCAGATCTAGAAATAAATAAAGCAAGAGTTGGAGGTATGATTGACAGTGGGTTAACTAGTAGCTACATAAGTAAGAAAGGGTTGCAGACGATGCGTCTCGGCCCTAAGGTAAAGCAATTGGATCATAATTTGGATGATCCCGTACTAAGTAAATTAGCCAATAGTTGTGAGATTGTAATGGATAGATATGTTGAGGGGATACAAACATACTTTCGGCTCGAGGCAGAGGGGAAGGTGGAACGTGTTCTCCACTCTCTGACCTTCTTGGTGGAGGATAACTTGCCCTTTGATGTGTTATTAGGCATGGATTGGGGTGAGGCTGCGCATGCGGATTTAAAGTTAAGAGAACATGAATGTTGGCTTCCAAGTCTGCAAGGAGGTAAGAAGAAAATCCGCCTTTTTCATGAATCTGGTAAGGAGAGCAGCTTCGCTCATTGTTGTATGAGTACCCCGCGTTCGCCCGCCATGTGAAAAAGTATAACTTGTATGATCAATTTTTTTTTGCATATATGCGCCCAGTGAAAAAGGTGAAGCTAAAGAAGAAGCCAAGTCCCCAGAAGTTGAGAAAATTCTAAAGGAATTCGCAGATGTGGCAGAAGCCCCAAGCGGTGTAGTTCAGAGACCGATCAAACATCGCATTGATATCATTCCAGGAAGTCAAATTTCTAAGGGGCCTATACATAAAATGTCATCTAAACAGTTGGACGAACTGCGAACCCAGCTTGATGAAATGCTGGAAAAATGATGGATAAGGCCCAGCTCCTCGCCCTATGGTGCGCCAGTGTTATTTGTGTCAAAGAAAGATGGCGGGGTCCGCATGTACATAGATTTTAAAAGATTGAATGATATAACAGTTAAAAATGATGAGCCACTACCGCGAATAGATGATTTGTTGGATAGAGTGCAGGGTTGCAAGTACTTCACAAAGATTGATTTGAAGTCTGGCTACCATCAGATTGAGGTAGAGCCAGAAGACCAATACAAGACTGTCTTTCGAACAAGGTATGAACGCTATGACTTCATTATGTTGCCCTTTGGTCTTACGAATGCCCCTGCAACTTTCCAAAGAACTATGAATGAACATTTTTGTGAATGACTTGATAAATTTGTTGTAATATATCTCGATGGTATTTTGATTTTTAGTAAAGATTTGAAAGAACATTGTGAGCACCTTTGACTTATGCTAAATAAATTGTGTGAGGCAAAATTAAAATTGAATCCCAAGAAGTGTGAATGGACTAAGCGTCAGGTTTTATATATGGGGCATGTGCTTGATGGTGATGGGATCAAATCGGAAGACACGAAGATTGCAGCGATACGTGATTGGCCTAACCCCCGTAGTTTGACTGAGTTGCGGTCATTCCTTGGGCTAGCCAACTATTATCGGAAGTTCGTTAGACACTTCACGATAATTGTTGTGCCTCTTCGGAAATTGCTTAAGAAAGAAACAATCGGAAAGTGTGACTCAGACTGTACGGCTTCGTTCAAACGTATGAAGAAATGTCTAATTAATTACCCGATTTTGAAAGTTGATGATCCTTGTTTGCCCTTTGTCGTCACAACCAACGCCAGTCAGTACAGGATAGGCGTTGTACTCCAACAAGACGATGGGAATGGATACAAGCCTGTTGAGTTTATGTTCCGACGACTACCTAATGAGAAGGTCGCCGCTTCTACGTAAGAAAGAGAGTTGTTTGCTATCCGTGAAGCTTTAGATCATTGGCGACACTGTCTCCTAGGACGCCACTTCAAAGTGTACTTAGATCATGACTTAAAACGCAGACGCGGATGACGCCTAAGTTGACTTGGTGGGCCGCTGAGATTGACCAATATGATTTTGAGCTAAACCAGTCAAGGGGAAGTATAACGTTGTTGCCGATGCACTGAGTCGAAGATCTGCTTTTTTCGGTGTTATTGTAACATATTTAGATGTGGGCACCGATGTGCAGGAGAAGATTAGAAATACGTACTCCAATGACCCTGTTTATTGTGCTATGTTTAAGCGTGTGCAAGAAGCGCCTCAAGAGTTTCCTAACTATCGTATTACACGGATTGTTGTTTGAAAGAATGGATGTGCATGATAGGCTTTGTATTCCAAATGTGGAAGAAATCAAAATCTGATTTTGGGGTAGTGTCATGACACCGAAGGCCATTTTGGATGGAAGAAGACATATGCGACCTCTTGCGTTCCTATACCTGGCCTCGTATGAAACCTGACTGCATCACTTATGTGCAGGGCTGTCAAGTGTGCCAAAGAAATAAGAGCACCACTCAGCCTCTCCTTGGTCTATTAAAGCCTTTGCTAATCCCAACAGGTCCAGAAGACTCTGTGTCCATTGACTTTATGGACACCAAGGTGAAAAGCAGGAATGCAAAAACGCAAATTATGGTTATCGTTGACAGGTTTAGTAAGTATGTTGTCTTCGTAGCATTGTCAGCGGAAGCAAAAACGAAATTGGTAATCCGGGAATTCTTCAACCACTGGGTGAAAGATTATGGACATCCCCTAACGATTGTAAGTGACAGAGATTCACGGTTCACAAGTGAACAATGGCAACAACTAATGAACGTTTATGGCTCTAAGTTGACTATGTCGTCAGGTCGACAGCCTAAGACAAACGGCCAGACTGAGCAAATGAACAAGATCTTGCAGCAAACATTGCGCATGTACATACATCCCGACCAAATTGATTGGGATGCTGTGTAACCGGTTGAACGAGTTGAACGCGCGTTCACGTTCAAACGCGCGCGTTCATACCCCCCGGGGCCGCGTTCAAACGCGTTCAAACGCGCTGTGCGCCACGTGGCGCGAAAAAATTAAACGCGACCCCAGGGGGCGTGCGTGCGCGTTACGGACTACGAGGTGGTGGGCCTCGTTCAAGGAACCCCAAAAGTGCAAAAAACAAAAAAAAAACGAGGCCTACCCCCCCTACCACGTCACCCCCCACCATATGCAAAAGGTCATTTTTTTTGGGGGGGGGGCGGGSGGGGGAATCCCCCTAACACGACTCAGACGGCCCATGCAGGCTATCTAAAGGGTTGTCGTAGCTATGTAGGGCAGACCCTCCCACTAACGTCAAGGCAGACAGTAAATATGAATTAGAGGTCAAGTTGCCCGAATATATACTCAAGATTCGACTTCAGGTCTGTGTTTCAGCAGTTATGGGTTGCTCACGTAGCTAGGGACTGCTGGTCTCTGCACGTGACTCTTAGGGTCTGGCTGCATTACTCACCAAATGTGCAAAACTAGAATGAATCTTCTGTAGAACATGGAATAATACACCGCCATATGTTTTGTCTTTTGTGCATGTGGTGAGTAGAGGCCCTTAGGGTCATTGCACGTATTCCTAAGAAAAGAAAACCCAGAAAAAAAGAGAAACGAGAAAAATGAAAAATGAAAAAAAAGAAAAACGAGAAAAAAGAAAACAAGAAAAAAGACAAAACAGATGGCGGCGTATTATTCCATGTTCTGCAGAAGATTCATTCTAGTTTTGCACATTTGGTGAGTAGTGCAGCCAGACCCTAAGATTCAGCCAGGCCCTAAGATTCACGTGCAGAGACCAGCAGGCCCTAGCTACGTGAGCAACCCATAACTGTTGAAACACAGACCTGAAGTCAAATCTTGAGTATATATTCGGGCAGCTTGAACTCTACTTCATATTAACTGCCTGCCTTGACTTTGGTGGGGGGGTCTGCGCTACATGGCTGCGAGGACCCTTCAGATAGCCTGCATGGGCCGTCT